AAAAAATAACCAAGCAGCACAGCTAGATGCCACATGGTGCAGACTGCTCATGGGAGTCTGACATGCCTTGGGAATGGGCTATGCAGACAGTTTCAGAAAACCCAGGAATGAGCCTGTTAGGGCCTGCACAGACTGCCAGAAATAATCCAGCTTGAGGCCACTTTAACTGTCCTGGCTCGGTGCTAGAGAATCATGGGAATTGTAGTTTTTTTTCTGAGACATTGAGCCTTCTCTGTCAGAGAGCTTTGGTGCCACAATAAACTAGTTTCCATGATTCCTTAGCACTGAGCAAGGACAGTTAAAGTGGCCTCAAGCTGCATTGTTGCTGGAAGTCTGTTTGCCCCCTCTCTCCCTGTGTCCAAACTAAATTGAATTTCCTCTTCCAACACTTTCCCACTAGCTGAATAATGAAGCATTTCAAAAAGACAGAGAGCCATTGTGGAGAAATAAAGTTTTTTTTTTTATTAAGTCCTATAACAGAGGACAAATTATGCAGTTTGGCAAAAATTATTCAAGATAGTCAAACTCACCACCAAACATGAGCATGTTTTACCTGGCTACTTACCTCCTGGAAGGAGCGGTGGCTTAGTCTTTACAACAGGACTACTATGAGGGGCCTTGTTGCCAAAGGACATAAAGAGATGTTCACAAAACTCTTCTGGCAGATCAGCCTCCAGGAAAGTCTTCATAAATAACTTGAAACCTTCTAAGTCAATTGTCTGTAGAGGCAGATAGGTAATTAGCTATGTTTGTGTATCCCAGGATTAAGAAATAGTATTTTAGCATGTTTAGCATATAGGCAGTATTAGAAACATTAAAAATGTTATAGTGGAAATGGAGCCACAGGCCTACGTTCGGTTTTACACATCTCTTGTCCTTAATGTGTGTGGCAATATTTTCAGGTATCACAGTTCATGCCAACCTCTTCAAACCATGGCCAGGTTCACAAGCTATAATTTCAATTAGGCTAATGAAAGTATCATTCATAAGCAAAATGACAGAGCAGGAAATGCATGTCATTTGGATGCTCCCTGTGGTAATAAGGAATTTGGCTATTTGGACAGGATTATTCTTAGGTTTGTTTTAATTTAAAAAAAAAACTACATCTATCTAGCTATCTATCTGCATATGTTCTTTCAGTATTTTGACAGAGCAAACAAATGCCCCCAGAAATAATCCTAAAATCAAGATTAATCACTAAACAAAGACATCAAAGACTTAACTCAATTAGGAATATGCAAACTCTCCTTTCTGAAGCATACATCTAAAGTGTGGTGTAGTGGCTTGAGCACTCCACTAGGACCCTGGAGACTAGGGTTCAAATCCCCACTTGACTAAGGAAATCCACTGTGTAATGTGAAGTTGAAGGCTTTCACAGTTGGCATCCATAGGTTTTTGTGGGTTCTTCGGGCTTTGATGCAGTGTTCTAGAAGAATATATTCCTAACATTTCACCTGCATCTATGGCTGGAATCTTCAGATAATCTTCAGAGTGTCTCTGAAGATGCCAGCCACAGATGCAGGTGAAATGGCAGGAATATATTCTTCTAGAACATGGCCTCACAGCCTGAAAAACCCACAAAACCTACCACTATGTAACCTTGGGCAGATCACTCTTTTAAGTCTAATATGCACTGCAGAAATAATGTAGTTCAACACTGTTTTAAATGCCATCACTCAATGCCATGAAATTCTGGGACTCATAGTTTGTGGTGGCACCAGAGCTCTCATTCCCCAGAATTCCATAGCACCGAGCTATGCCAGTCAAAGGAGTATTGAACTGCATTATTTCTGCAGTATAGATTAGACTTCAGTCTCAGAGGAAAGTCATGGCAAACGTTTCTTGCCAAGAAAACCCCATGATACTGGGTTGCCATAAGTCAGCATCAACTTGCAGGAACACAACAATAGCACAATGCACAGAAACATGCCATTTTGGATATGCTTGTTCTGTTTCTTTTTATCCTCAGCCAAACTATCTGAATGAACTGTGGCAATGCTGATATGGATGGGAAAAGTACAGTACTTATCATTTATATCAACTTCCACATTATCCTTCAGAATAACAATTTTAGGAAGATATAGATATGTTTTATAAGCAGACTTTCAATTGGAAACTACAATTTCTGTCAGACTAGTCAGTAACAGCTTTTCATTACTCCAAAGCTTATACTCCAAAGTGTTCTATGCTAGAATACAAAAGCACTGAAATGATGGGTTGGAGACACCTTTTTGTTATGTGGACAAGCATCATTGTTATTATTTACCGGTATTTATATCCTATCTTTTCCAAAAACTGGGAGCAGCTTACAATATTTAAAAAACAGTACAATTAAAAACATACAAAAGTGATACCTTAAAATAGAATTAAATTATTACAATATTAAAACAGATGGCATGTTAAAAGAATAAAATACAGTTTTAAAAAAAGATATAAGTGTTTAAAATACTTTAAAACAATACAGCAGCCCACCCCATTCTTTAAAAACTGTGTTTTAAATGCCTGTCTGAACAGGAGGTATTAGCCTGCCAGTGGAAGGAAAAGGGAAAAAAAGGGGGGGGCAATCTGTTCTCCCTGAGAAGTGAGTTTCAGAATGTAGAGAAGCCACAGAAAAGGTCCTTTCTCGTGTCCCCACCAACCGTGTTTGTGATGGTGGTGAGACCAAGAGAAGGACTTCTCCTGATGATCTCAGAGTCCAAGCCAGCTCATACAGGGAGATACAGTCTGCCAAATAGCCTGGACATGAGCCATACAGGGCTTTATAAATCATAAACAGTACTTTGAATTGTGCCTGGAAACAAACTGACAGCCAGTGAAATAATTCAAGATATAGCCATGTTAGTCTGTAGAATCAGTACTGTAGAAACTTGGGCCTCCAGGTTCAAAGCTGAATCCAAGAGATCTCTCTACATACTGTTTCAGCAGGACGTTGTGTGGTCTCTGTAACGTGCCCTAGTTAACAGCCTGGGTGCAGCTCTTTGGACCAGCTGAAGTTTCTGAACAAAGGCAGACCCACGTAGAGTGCATTACAATAGTCCAAATGGGATATAACATAAGGTATGTACCACCGTGGCCATATCCAACATCTCAAGGAACAGGCACAATTGGCGCACAAGTTTTAAATGTGCAAAAGCACTCCTGGTCACTGCAGAAACCTGGGCTTCCAGGTTCAAATCCAGGAGTACTCTTAAACTTCAAACCTTGCATCTTCAGGGGGAGTGTAACCCCACCTAACACAGGACGTATCCCTATTCCCTGATCTGCCTTCTGACTGACCAGGATCACCTCTGTCTTGTCTGGATTAAGTTTCAATTTGTTTGCTCTCATTCAGTCCATTACTGAGGACTGACACTGGTTTAAAACCAGGACAGCCTCCTTGCATTGGGATGAAAAGGAATAGTAAAGTTGAGTGTCATCTGCATATTGATGGAACTACACCCCAAAACCCCAGATGACCTCTTCCAATGGTTTCATGTATATGTTAAATAGCATAGGGGTCAACAAAGGCCAACGGCCAGGAGGTCAAGCAGGAATCCCACAGCACAACCTTCTGGGTTGAACCTACAGGAAGGAATGGAGGCACTGTAAAACAGCACCTCCAAGTCTCATCCCAGAGAGGGGGCCCAGAAGGGTACCACAGTTGATAGTATCGAAAGCCACAGAGAAGTCCAGAAGAACAGGGACAAACTCCCCCCCTCCCCCCCCATTCCAGTTCCCTGCATAGTTCATCCACCAAGGCAATTGAGGCTGCCTCCGTTCCACAGCCAGGGCCTGAAACCAGACTGAAATGGATCTAGATAATCTGTTTCATCCAGAAACCCCCTGGAGCTGGTTCGCCAAAGGGCAGTATAAAATAAAATTTATTATTATTATTGTTACAAGGTTTGAAGGAAACATCTCTAGTACTGAACCTATTTTGAAGGTAGGGTTCAGCATCCTGAATAGTTCCTTTTAAAGTTAAGAATAAAATCTAATCAAATATAATTTGATACCATTTGATGCAGAAGCTACCAGCCCAAGTGTTATCAGGACATTCTTATTGCTGTCCCAGCTTTGCCCAAATTCACTCCTCAAAGTTATAGGCTCATTTTCTTCACATGCAAGCAACAGATCTTCATTACTCAAGATAATCAGCAACTGGTACATGGAAAGAACTACAGAAAACAAAAATGTTGGCCAAAATTGGAGTAGGGTGGTTGTGGTGACAGGAACAAAATCATCTTAATCTCTTTCACATTTCCAGGGGTTCAATATGAAGGTTTATTTGAGCTCTTCAGTGCATTGTAGGCATGACAGTTGCCAATAACATCTTCCAAGAGCTAGTGAAGGGGAATTGGAACAGTCACAAAAATAAAGTGATAGTCAGTCGTCATCAGCAATTGTTCTTTACCAAGCCAAAGCATTCCAGGAAATCCAGAATGGCACCCATTAACCAGATGGAGATTTGGATTAACCAGAGCACCGGTAATTGGATTGGGGGGGGGGGGTGAAACTGCCTAGTTCATCAAGGAGAATCCCAAGGGCAGCAAAGGGCATGAATTCTTTTTGAAGCTAAAAATCCACAACCGAATTGTCAAAGAGCCTCATGTCATTCCCCAGCCACCATTTAGTTACCCTTGCTTATGACCTTTGCTAAAATTTATATATTTTGTGAAGTTTTTCAAATGAGGTTAGTTAATATCTTCATTTTAAATAACTATACTGTATTATTTTTATAAAACTTTTTCTGGCTAGAAAAAAAAACCCATAAATGATATTATTAATGTAGTTTACCATCAAAATCCAATAAAGCCAGACAAATCAATAGCATTCTTCAAATATCCCAGAAAAAACAAAACAAATTATCCGGGTGCTTACTTGTTTAAGAATATCTTGCTTCTGCAATGCATGCAAAGAAAGAAAATATAGATACATATTATTAATGCAGTCATATCAATTCCCAACTACATTCTTTCAACATTTTTAATTGAAAGTTCAGTTTCATCACTAAGCACACTAGAAAGCAAATAAGCACTAGAAAAACAACTCAGTGTTTGTAACTAATGTAACTGCAAAGCCACGGTTCAAAAACAAATTAACAAAATAGGACAAAAGTCTGATAACCTTTCTAGCCATGCAACAATGTAAAAAAAGTTGCTATTTAATTTCACAAGTCACAAGACTCTCCTGTTTTACTTGTCTTAAGGCAAAGATAGTGAATTGTTAAGGACTATTAATAAAATTCATTCCTCTAGTGAGCATACAGACTCATTATTAGATCTGCTGAAATCAAATACACAGAGCCAAACAAATTGTTACTGAGCACAAAATAGAACCTATGCACTGAGGGCTCAGTCAAAATCCTTCTCTTCACCTCCACGTGTTCAGTACTCCGATTGCAAATGTAGTGCAATAGCCTAATTTGTGTTGTTAAATGCCTTCAAGTAGCCCTTGACTCATGGTGACCCTATTTATGAGAGACCAAGGGCCAGAGCAGAAAGGTATGAAAGAGTAGCCCAAGTCGACTGGGACTCATGCTGGGGCTGACTGGCCTGCATATCTTAGATCGTTGATGTTCATTCCTCCAATTGTCACACCTTTTTCCTCTAAGTCCAATTCTGCTCGGTGTATGATGTCCAGCTCTACTTTACCAGCTCTACTAGAGGAAAATGTTTCTAGAGGATGAAAAAAATACTGAAACCTCTAAACCCATAGAACACAGGGCATTACTTTCTAGCAACAAGAGCAATTATTTAAAGTTTAAAAATGAAAAAAAAAATTACCCCGTCAGGGTTGTACTTTGCTAGCACACCACTGCCATGGAATTCTTCCAAAACATCCTTAATTTTCTTTGTAGAATCTGTAAAAACAATAAAAGACCATCTTTTTATTTAATCAAATTTATTTAACCAAACCAAGCAGCATTTCCTATTAGACTACTCTGAGATTTTCATCAGAATCCTTGCAATGTCTTTGCCTTGGAAGCCCTTATGGGCTTGGAGGTAATAAAGAAATATAATAAATAAATATCTTTAAATATTTTGAATATCTTCTTGTTTTAACTTTTAAAGCCCAACATGACCAAGCTCCCTCCTATCTTTCAGTCTTTATTTCTTTTGAGAAGCCTGCTCAGAATCTGTGTTGTAGAAACCCTAGACTTCTCACAAAACATGTTAAGACTTACATGGGTTACAAGCATTACAAGGGTTTAGTCTTCCTTGGATTGTCTTCATCTTGTTTTCACTTGCTGCTCCATACTCCTGGAATTGCTTCACTGAATCTGTGGACCACTCCCTCCCCTCATTTTTAAATCTCAATTTACAATCTCCTTGTTTTCAAAGTTTTTGGAATTTTGG